ACATGCATGCTTGAACTGCATTAGCTCCACATGCTGAGAATATCTTGTTCAGACCAGGATAGTCCAACAAATGATTAAGAATCATTATTTTCAATTTGAATGACAGAAAGTTCACATAGATCATCCACAAAAATTTCCAGATATGCATCTAGTTTAAGTGCACATGTATCATCACCTCCTGAAGGTATAACACCAAGCAACATAATGCTGCTAAATAAATGTCTAGCTTTCTAAGGAAGGTTTAACATTGTTACCATTAAAGGCCACATGGAATATGTTCCATGACTGAATGGATTCATGCCATCTGTAGAGAACTATAACGCAAGTCATCCAGGATGTTCAGAAAACCAAGAAAAATACAAGCATAGAGTCTGAAGTACAGTCTGATCACTGTTGGGGTATAAACGTATTTTAGAGCGTGCGGTGTTGTGGAGTGTTTCCTCGTAGCATGCGTTTGTTGCTGTCGAAGAAAGTGTGTTCGTGCTGCCGTTGCTTTCTTCTGTCTCCATGCATTCTTGTTTGTTAAGCTCTTCAGACGAGAAAGAATTATTTCAATCAAAACTATCAGCATATTCAGGGCAAGGAGTTGGAATAGAATTTTCATTTCCAACATCTCCAGTTTCGGGATCACCAGAAGTCAATTCATCTCGATCTTGAACGCCAACGGCAGCGCCATTGTTATCATCACCACCTTTCAGGTCCATATAACTTAATATGCTTTTCAGCACTATTTCCTGTGTGCTCGAATTTACCCTTACATAAATTAAAGTCACAAAGAACCCTTTTAAACCGCTGTCGAGCTTTTCTTTCTCTATCTTTCGCCTTTTTTTTTTTTTTTTTTTTTTTTTTTTTTTTTTTTTTTTTTTTTTTTTTTCTTTTTATGTCTCTCTCCATGCATCTGTAAGCGCGTATACGTCAAAATTAAAAAAAGTCGTGATCGTAGAATGGTAATCAAAGGGGTACACACACGCATGCGCAAGCGTATGTATTTCCACCAATCAAAGGCGAGCAAGAGTTCCTGCCAAAATACGGTTGTGACAGATCGTGACTGATACGATTCTTTTACCGATCTCAAGCTCGATCTTTCCATTCGTCAGACTTCTCGATATCGTGCATCAATTCAAGCTCTTCTCTAGTATAATCAATTTTCTTCAAAAAACATGGATTCAGCCCAGCTAGCCAATCTCAATTTAAGCGAACATGAAGTTAATGCGATATTAAATATACTAAGATGATCAAAGCTTACAGCTGCAGCTGCTTCTGCGACGAAATTACGTTCATGTACTAGTAGTACTGATGATGATCAGCGTGATCTTATTGTTAAAACATCAGTAGAAAGTAATAAGAAATTCTCCTCATTCGAGCTTCTACAAAAGAAAAAGAAGAACTCCCAGTCATCACCGGCACCGGAACTTTTTTTGGTATGTATTTGTGAATATTAATATTACATCTTTCTAAAGCCTGTACATGCACACGATATTTTCCCGCGCAAAACATTCAGTACAATTATAACGAAATGACGGACTAAAGCTTCCTAAATGCAGTTCTTTCCTTGATTTTATAAGGGAGGAGGTAGAATGAAGGATAGGAATTTCTTCATTTGGATATTCATACCCAATGCATGCAGCAAGCAGTGATGCAAGACGAAACTGTACATACGTACCGTGTATGTAAAATTATACCTCTATGCATGATTACTTCCACTTACTGTTATTGTAAATTCCAAAAAAATATGAAATGCTGTCACACACTGGTAGGGGTATTTACATTTTTGAACTACCTTATCTTTATCTAAACACCTTTTAGACTAATAAATGATTTATCTTTAATTAAATATATATTAGTACACAGTGAGAGAAAGTGCAAGACAAATGGGTCTATGGGAAGAAGCCCCTTGCTTGAATAAAAGTCCCTACGCAACGCTGGCCTCATTCATGGAAAAGGTTCGTTTATATTGCACATGCTGATGCATTTATGAGATCAATTTGATTTTCGTTTTCAAACTCACGTGCAATTTCTATATTAATTGATAATACAAATTGAATGATGGAAACTATATGTTGCTAAAGTGATGAAAAAATTCTAACTTGCAATATCATTTCAATCCTAAAAATGGAATTCAGTAGTTTAATTGCATATATTACTCCTGACTAATTGAGCAAGGATAAGGAGATCCCTTGGCCACATCTTCTAATCATAACATTAATGAAACTGAAGAAGCTGAATATGTAGAGGGTACATATAGCAAAGAATAAGAGGAAGATGACTTCATGTTTCAATCTGGTTAAGTATAATTGAGAAATTAAACGAAACTTACCTATAAGTTGAAGTTTTATGGAAATTCTACCATAGCATTTGCAGGAATGAGGTCACGTGAGAGAGCAAGCATGTGATTCCGAGCTCAGGCTTTAAAGTGCCTATCAACCTTAGCCAAAGTACATACTAATAGAAACGTTGTGTGTTTCTTAAACATATTTCGAAGAAAAAAAGTAAATTCCTTTTATTCCCTTTGAACAATGAGCAAAGGAATTCCCGAAAAATCGGGAATTCTCGGCCCCTTCAATTTTCATACCGCGACGGAAAAGGACTGGGTACTAAATAATTATGTGACGTCGACCCGGTATCTCATTCTGGTACGTTCTTATTGTTGGTATGCGTCTCTGTGTATTTTTAGAATAAAGAGTTTTAAAAAATGCCGAATAGATGTGCTGCAGGCGGTTTTTCTAACTTCGCCGATGTAGAGAAAGGAGTTGTTCTGCATAGCATTCCATATTTGAATGACCAAAGGCCAGAGGCAAAGAAAAGAAGGCGAAAATGGGTTGAGTTCGTRAAGCAGAAACGTGCCAAATGGGAACCAACCAAGAACTCGTCTCTGTGTTCTCTGCACTTTGGTCCTGAGGATTTCATGAGGCGCCGTGCTTTACCAGATACTGTGACAAATCGCCCGATCATCCCAAGACTGGTTAGGAATGATACTGCAGTCACATCCATCCCAATTGTACACGCAAAGTCTTTGTCCTCAGCCGCGACTGTGAAAGAAAAGACGGAGGCCCATTCGAGCCGAGATCGAAGAATGGTAACAACGGATCTAAAGTAAAAACATTGTTTTACTCCTTACTCGTGAATAACAAATCTAAATATCTAAATCTATAACTCGGATTATATTCCACTAGTCTCTCAAGAGCGCAAAGAGCCGAATGGCATCTATACAAGAAGAATAGGAGCCAAAGCAAAATGGCGATGCGGAGTGTTGTAATATTGAGGCTGAAGCTGAATCTGGATTCGATGCGGAAATCTCAGGAAATGTAATAAAAAGAAACAAGGCCTTGAATAATTTTTATACTAGTATCTTTTACGGATCTATGATATTTATATAACATCTGTAACATCCTTTTTCATTAGACACAAGACAGTTTCACGCAAACTGAGGGTGAGACTAAAGATGAATGTCAAAGTTCCACAAGGCTCCAAAGTCGTAATCGACAGCTTCAAAAACAGCTAATAACCGTAAGATCAAAATTTAAAAAGTGTCAAAATGAGCTGAAATCTACTAAAAAAGCTTTAACTAAGATGCAAGAAACAGGTATATCGCTATATTTGTCTGCATTACATAATTTACATCTGCTATAGTAACATAACGTACTGTAAACAGCCCCATGTATTTGCATGTCCTGGTAAGGGGATATAGAGTTATAAGACATGAGTGGTTGGTGATCATGACAATCAGCACTTAAATCATTTTAAATGTTATATCTACAGAAATAATATCTGAACCTCAAATTTGCCAAGAGAATGAAAATGATGGCGGTGATGATGTTGATGATGAGTCTGATTCCGATGACACCATGGAAGAAGAGCCAGACTTTTCATCAGATGCCAACTATGACACCGAGATGGAATCTGAGACTGACACCGAAACAGAAAATGAAAATACCCAGGAAGAAGAGAGCAGGTAACCTAACTTAGGGAAAAATATTCAAGATTGTATGGAAATAGAAGGTAAAATGAATATGAAAATTTATCTATAGACCAATTTATTTTTCTCTTTACAGACTTTTTTCCAATGATGAAAACCTCAGAACACAACCAAAGTTTATTGTGTTTTGGTCACAGCTTCTTCTCCTTTTTCGTTTTTGCCATACTTGTAAAGCAGAAGGCCCTCTTATAGAAGCAAAGCAAGTGGGTACTATGGTTGTAGTTACATCAACTTGTGGAAATAAGAACTGCCATGCAAGAGATGTTCTATGGAAAAGTCAGCCAAATATGACTTGGACAAAAATTCCTGCCGGAAATGTCCTGCTTTCTTTTGCCATTCTTCTCTCTGGGGGTTCGGCATCAAAGACCATTCAGATGTTCAAGCATATGGGACTATGCTGTTTCTCACTGGCAACTTTCTTCAAACACCCAAATGTGAGTACCAGTATGATATTCAATGTGACCCCTGTACTTCTATTGTGTTAATAATTGCAAGCCATTTATCGTAACTGGTAATCCTAAACACTGGCCATTATAAGGAAACAAATTTCCAATGACCTTCATGCACTGGGAAATCAGGAGTAAATAACTATTACTAATGCTTCTTAATAAATGTACTGGAAGTATAATTCTTCATATCTATAAGGATAACACATTGTTCATTGTTTGATGCATTGTGTCAGAAAAAATCAAACCGTTGTGAATATACTGTAATAAGTAAGACTCTTGTCTTACTGTTACATGGTATTTTATTCCATAACAATATTACTAACAATATTATTTTCTTTTTAGGAAAAGCTATTTTAATATTTAGTGTTTTAATGCCCTTGATTTTTAGCACTTAATGGCCTGTGGTTGACAAACTTGTGCCCCTCATTCCATTACTGAATTGGAATTTAGAGGTTGATTTTTGCCCTTCCAAGTCATAAAATTTAGACAAAACTTTCTTCTGTTGCCAATATACTGGCAATAATCATGTTTTATTTTTGAAACATCACTTTACCACTTTGTTTTTATAGAGAAATGTTGCTGGTAGCAGCAAAGCTATGGAGTTCCCAGGCTTCAAGAACTGCATGGGTTATCTCCTTGGTAGTGGTCTTGCTATTGGCACAATAATAACAGACCGGCATGTGTCTATCAGAAAGTACATGAGGGAACAGCTATCACACATCACACACTATTTTGACCTTTGGCATCTAAAGAAAAGTAAGCTAAGTTTTATTCATTGGTTCAATATAACAACAAGGCATAGGAAAAACAGTCTCATTAATAACCATCACTTTTAATATTGCAGAAATTCACAAAGTTCTACCAAAAATAAGTAAAGAAAGTGGGTGTTCTAGTTTGGTTGAGTGGAAAAAGCCTCGTCAAAACCATTTTTACTGGAGTGCTATTTCCACTTTGTCAGGGAATGGCAAGGTTATATATGCCAAGTTCAAGTCCTTCCTTAGCCATATCATTAACAAACATGATAAATTGGATGGAGATCCATTGTTTGACAAATGTGCCCATGGTGAAATACAAGAAAGGAAATGGTTAAATAAAGGTCAGTTTTGAAATGCCAAGTTAATAAATAAGGCAATAGATACATGTACCATCTTCGTCGATTTTCATTAAAATTTGTTCATATTATTAATCCTATAGATTCTCCTGTTTATGAAAAAATATGTAAATCGCTTGGTAAAACCTCTTTGGTAAATGCAATAAAGCAAGCCTCACCACTTGCACAGACAAGCTGTCTCGAAGGTTTTCATTCGGTGGTGAACTACTTCTCTCTAAAGATGCTAGCTTATTCCTATGTTGGAATGTACTGCAGGTACGTAAATTGCAAGGATATATACACCTATTTCAACTATTTTTCTCTAATTTTGTTATATGCACAAGCTGGCAAAGGTATTCTTCTTCTTCCACCCAAGTAGCCATGGACAAGGCATGTGAATTCCCTATATGTAATACTACGCAGGAACCTGATGAAAAAATTTTTTTCAAAACTATAACTTGGGGAAACTGAAAAATCCCAGCTAATAAGCCCTCATTCTTAAGTGTTTGTTTCTTCCAAATATCGGCTTATAACTGATAGGGCTTACAACCAAGTAGGTAGAAAAAATAATGGTATATTTTAACTTTTGCTTCGTGTTACCAGTCAAAAAATTATACGCGTAGCAACGAAATAAAGAAAATACTGTATGCCTGAAGTGGGCTTGTAAATAGGATTTATAAATGTTATGTTGTGCCACGCCAAAACTCAAATCTCTTCAAACTAAGAAAATTTCTCATTTCAAGGTCCCTAGATAAGAGATCATACTTAAGATCTACTAAGATCTCTCATCTGGAGACACTGAAATACGAACTTTTACAAGTTTTGAGAGAATGGAGTTGTAGTGTATTGCGCTATAATATTATATACGTTACCTTTCCTCTGAACAAGTCTGACTGTATCTACTTTTAACTTTTGTCTTATATTTGTCGGCTGCTAATCTTAAACTCCATTTAGAAAGTTAAACTTGCTCAAAACCAGGATGAAGAGTCATGCAGTCTGGAATTTCAAGACATTCTTCTCTATCTGTGTCGCTGGAAAGCGATTCAACACATTCTTCGATTTCCAGACAGCATTGGTATTCGCTTGGACTTTGAAGATACTCTCGGTTTGGCAATTTCCACATTTGCACTTAATGAGATGACATGAAACTAAGCTATCGAACTGAAGTATTATTAGGAGAATATCGTGAGTTCGTGATCAAACTCGCACAATTACCACAAATTGACATCTTCCATTTTATCAGATTGACTCTGCAGTTTACGTTCAAATTCTTGTTGAATTTCTTACTGACTTCTATATTCTTCAAATCATCCCTCGCTTGAGTCGAAATTAGACGAAGAAAATTTAAAAAAGGAGGACACACCTACACAAAGTATAGTCTTCATACTATGCTATATCCCTTAAGTCTCCTTAAGTCTCCATGTTTGAGTGAGATACGGCCGTTACAGCACTTGCTAAATGGAACTAGGTGCAAAGAACATCAGGCGGCTGTGCGTCTGAACAAGGCAGAAAGATCAGCCTTAGCCCAGCATGCACATGAAACGGGGCACTCAATCCAATGGGATAACATTTCAATCGTTAAAAAAGAACAAAGATGGAACCAAAGAAAGTGGCTGGAAGCATGTGAGATATCTAAGCAAAAGAACATTATTCTTAGTAGAGACAGTGGCAGAATTCTGCCAGCAAATGAGACAAATCTTTTGTGATTTTCGATGCGCGTGCTTTCAGGTTTGCTCGCGCATATCTACAACGTTTGATCGCGTAGGTTTTGTTAATATTGTACTTATTTTAGTTCCTCTGAGTATGAGTGTCCGTCGAAAGCTAAGGAAAATATAAAATTATTTTTAAAGGTTGAGTCAATTTGAGTTTCATGAGGGAAATGATGTTGATACCGCCAAACAACTAGAGAGTGCCCTCCTTTCCAATGGGGAAGTCAAGGGTGTTCGAGTCGTTTCACTGCAATCCATTCCTAACTCTCAAGAGACCACACAAAAGATCCCTAACTTAAGTAAGCTAAACAATTTTGAGTTTGTGTCTGGAGAGAAAATTAAAGCTTGGCGTGCTTATGGCATAGGCACTGGGAAAGTCATCAAAATTGAAAAGCCCTCGACTACAGGTAAATGGATAATGGAGTTAGATTTCTTGCCATTTTCTGCCACTTAATTATTTTACTCTTTTCTTTCAGAGGCCAATCATAAATGGCTTAGCTCGTCTTTCTCACCAGGACAATTTAAATATTTTACTCCCCAAACAACTCGCAAGACCCAATCGGAGACGCTAACCGAACCCGCTGAGAAGAATGTTGAGCCGGAAGATATGAGTAATTAACTTTTTTTGGAAAATTAATTCGACTTGTAGTGACTTGTAGTTACCATCCGCTATAACAGGGAAAAAGCCTAATGATATTTGGAGTTAAAGAAACTTGCAATATCTGTTCAGACCAAGTAATCAAAGTTTGGTGGTTTGGTAACTGGTAAGTTACGATAATGATTTGGTAGAATTCATGTGTTTATTTAGAGTGCCGTTGACAGCTCGCTAGGACATTAAATGTTTACATGCAAGTCATGCAAGACAGTCATGGTAATAATTTATCAAAAACCGGTTCAAAAGTTTAAAAACCGGCTAAATTCATAGACCATTTGGTATCTCAGAGTAAGAGATAAATCTTTTTGCAAAGGAGAAGAAATCTAGCTAAAGCCACCGACGACGGGGTGCATTTGTCCTGACCCTAGATTGTGTAACATGGTTTTTAAAGCTCAAGCTGCGGTTAATTATCGTGGATTAACGCAGAGGACCACTTGATTGAAGAGTATTTACTCTCTAGTTATGCTTTTTATACTCTTGGCAAACCATCTTAATACAAAAATTTTAAAAAAGAAAAATATTGAGTCGATTTAGTGTTATATTGATAAACAACCCGTGTAATTGATTAGCCGTATAGCGTGTTTGAACGCTACAAGTTGAAATTCCTTCAAGCGGTGGCATTTTAATAGTCGGTGCTAAAACTTGGCACAAGTAAACTAGAATATGTGTACTTTCGTGCTGTGTAAGTGTTCTTTCGATTAATTAGGTACCAGCAGCGATATTGGAGGCTGAATTTCACCTATAATTTGACTGCCGCTCGATCATAATAGTCGGGGAGCCAAATCTCAAAAAGTGCTCTAAAAAAATAGTTGGCTCAACTGACGTTACAGACAAAAACTGACTACGAATTCTGAGACTGAAGACTGAAGATTATCGCTAAATAGTTAGTAAACTCGAATAGTGGTAACAGTTTTGAGTTAAGGCCACGTTTTTAATGGACACCGGAAGTAGACATGAAAACGAGGCAAAACTAAAAGTGAGCGCAGTAATGTAAAAATCTTGGCAAGAAAATTCCAGTATTAAACTGAATAGCTTCTAATAACAACACTCTAGGGCTTAAAGAACCAGTTTAATTTTAAAATAACTCATTTATAAAGATATTTTAATTTTAAAAAATGCCGTTCTTTTCTTTAATTGCGTGTTATTTAGAGGTTTTTATTATATGATTATGTGAAAAAAAATAAGTGGGTGACTTTTTCCTAGTGGGAGAAAAATTAAGAGAAACTGGAAAACATGTGTTAATGCTATAAATTCAATAATTAGTTTATAATTCCAAAACGACTTATGATGTCAAAGCTGCGCAATTGTATGTGCAGCATCGCTTTCGTTTCGCGCTATATTTCGCGGCTTTGTGTCTAGACGTACAATGCCTCTCCTAGCTTCGTAATATCGCCTGTTTTCCTTTCCAGTTTTACCTTTTTTGACAAAAACATGAATTGCAGATGTAATTTAATTTTTAAAATGTGGTTGCATTGAGATAATGACGATTTTAATTTTTGAATGGAAGAAATCCGCGAAAAAAGGTAAGCTGAAAGATTAATTGTTGTTATTATTATTACTTCTCTCTTTCTCTTTCTCTCTCTCTCTCTCCTTTTTTCCTCTTTGTTTTTTCTTCTTTTTATTTCGTCGATTCGCCCTTTTCTATTAAATACAGACAGTGAATTGTATTGTTTTTGAATATTTTGTCAACTCCGCTCCGTAACTACAATAAATTAGAAGTTGCCAAAATGACGGCAAAGCTTGCTGACAACTTTTGGTCGATGTGAGATTTAATTAAAAACCTTGTTCTGCGTTTCGATAACCGTGCTAGTTCCTATCTAATTATCTTCATTCATCATCTCCACTTATACTAACCTCGTAAAATGATAAGTCTACATAATTTGAAATGAAGAAAATTACTTAAGCTTATCTAAGATAATTTTTTTTCTTTAGAAATCAATAAAAATTCACAAGATTTCAAGCTGTCGTTCTAGAACAAAGTCGGTGAGTGTCGAGGAACTAAATACGCATTCCGAAGGATTGAAATATAATTTTTTTAATGGGTAAAGAATGTTGAATAAAGACGAAAGACAATAATTTTGTAAGTAAACTGCATTCACTCCAACGCCAAGCCAGTGGTAACCATGGAAACTTTACGAGTATAAATAGAACAACTATAAAACGAAGCTCAATATATCTATCGAACGTAATTGCCACTGCATCTATCTGAACTTTTTTTAAATGAAAAGTACAGTACATTGTCTTAAAAAGTTAGTTATATTTGGTTTTCAGCTGTCTGATCCACTCAGTGAAAGAAAACTTCCTTCTTAACTTTATTTTTTTGATGTCGATCTTACCTCTAACGTTCGAAGTCAAAGGCTCAAATTTTTTTCAACAAAGTCAAACCATTCAAATAGTCGTTCTTTCGTAGTCACATTACCCCAGATGGCTCTCCACTATTAGACCACTCTTTTGAGGTGACCGCGAATTCTTCCTATTCTCTGCAGAAAAGCCGTTTTTTGAGTACTTCTTTTTCTCTGAGACCATGCAAAGTGCATATTGAAAGTGACAGCATTCCCCGCTTTCTGTCTTGATTATGCACGTTTTCTCTCTGTTTCTGTTAGCGGGATTTTAAAAAATTTTAACTGTTAAACAAACATCAGAACTGCTTGGTTTTTTTGTTTTTTCTGCCAGCCTCTGTTTGTGGAGAACTTCCAGTAAGAAAAAAAAAAATTCTTGAAGATTCTTCATGACTAACTCCGTTGATGACGGATTCCAAGTCTATTCGAGTAGCCCCAAAAATTCTGTTTTTCGATAGGTTGCACACTCCATTTTTGCTTTTCAACAACAAGACTAAATGGTTATCCTTTCTTGGGAAGTAATCTGCATATTTCAAGAGTTCACTTTCAGCTAAAGATATCTTCAAGATAAAAATCCATAGCAAACTTCAGTCGCTATTAACGCCACGAGGCAGGCAAACGAGTGATTTTGAAAGCACTATAACCTAGCTAGTGATTGGCTAGTGCCTGAACAAGTCGAGCATTAAATTGGTTTCCCGCTTTTGCACGCCGGCACGATTTTGCGGAAAAAGTAAAAAATGCGATTATTTAATAAACCTGAAGCGAGATGACGATTTACCCCCGTCTCTAGACCATAATCATTTTCGCATTGCTTTTGTTCTTTAATTATGACTATTGTTCCTGTATTCTCTAGGGAATCAAAAAWTTTAATATKAAAGAATTTTAAAAACTATTATGCTATATAGTCGGGGGTAAAACGTCATCTCGCTTCAGGCTTATTCTGAATAATATCTTTATTATACTCTGTAGAACCTTTAGACTTTTAATTATTTCAGGCTAGTGACATTTATTCGTAAGAAACCCTAGTTCCTTCAACAAATTGGGCGACGTAAAAATTGTACCTAAAAGCATATTTATGTTCAAAAATTAGCAATGCGGTTTTATGTCACAGTCCGATACTGTTGTTGATGCTTTTTTCAATATTTAGTTATCGTTATTATTTTCTGTTTGTCAGTTTACCGGGGGCCGGGAAGGGTTTCTAACTACATTCGGTGTTTGTAAAAACTAATAGAAAAAGAAATGTTTTGGTTTTTAGATCGCGAAAAAAAAAACATCCGTTCCCAAAAATCATATTATATAAATAACTTGGATTATTCGCAGTAAATATGGCAGAGAGAGAAGTGAGCCAAAGTGACGACGACAGTCCCCCGCAAATCCTTCTTCCTGCTAAGCCAATGCGTTGTTGTACAACTAGTTTCGCAAAATGTCTAATTTGCCA